ACATTCCAACTTATTTCCATGAAGAATTGTGAATCCTTTCTCACACAAACAACTACTACTTAGACTTCTTACGTTCACTTTTCTGCTAAATATAACAGTAATATTTGAGCATTTGCAAAATTTTACATAAAGACTTTTAGATGTAACATAAGAGAGAAAAAAAGAAAAACGGGCAGTAAAGTCCCAAACAGGGTAAGAAGGGTTCCTAGAGAATATGTTCATGTCTCCGTATCCATTCAGATACTGATAACGCAAAACCAGCTTCAAAACAACTACCCTAAAGGTAGGGTAGCCAATTTCCAAAGGGCACAGGGGTTAAAACAAAGGAAGGATACAGCACATAACTTTTTTTTTTTTGGCTTTGTTTGAACGCAGCAGGCAATTCATGACTCTTGACAGCATCTTCAAAGTCAGTATTGATGATTTAAATATATCATGAGAAGAAGCAAACCACCTTAGTTCACTGAAACACATCCCTTTTCCTTCTGGGTCTTGTTTGAGATTATGACTGAGGCAGAGCAGATGAATGAGGTATTTGTTGAACAGGAACAAGGCACCAGAAAGCAGTCTCTTTTGAGCACCCTACACAACTCAACTTTAGAATCCTGAAGGCAACATACCATTGTCTTCTATTTTACTGTTTTGACTAACTCCTTAAAACAAGAGGGCCAAGAAACAGACAGAGATCTCTACAGAACCCAGGGTGAAGGCCAGGATCTTCTGGCATATAATTGATGCATTAGGCATGCTCCAAATTACAGTATCAGCTGCAACTAAAAGAAATACAACCAGTGAACTGAACTTCTGTCAACAATGCTGATAAACTAGTGCGATACCACTAGGGATCACATCACATAAATCCTACATAATGCAGCATTGTGTGACTGTATTTGGCCGTGACAGCTTTGAATAGAGCTGAACTGCACTGAAAGACTACAGATAGAAAAGTATTTTTCTTCTATTGCCAAAGTAATAGATGAGACTCCCAACCCTTAACAACAATTGTTTTGAAGTTTTACACAGCTGTATAAGAGACAGAAATAAGACACATATGAAATATCTTAATTTCTGTTACAGAGATTTGATTTCTAAAGCTAATTCCATATACCATGAAACTACAGCCAGCCCAAGTTCACTATAGAAGGCTTCCAGGCAGACTCCAGGATGCTGCCCATGTAAAAGGAATTCAGTGTCCTCCCTGAAGTGCCCTCCCTACTGCAATGAGCTGTGCAAAACCTTCACCTGAAAGATAAAGCACACATGGTATTCTGAACAGCAAAGAGTTGGGAATCCCCAGTGCCTCCGAGTGTTGCATTTTTCCAATATAGGAGAAACGATCCCTTGTTCAAATACACCCTGGGCAACAGAGACAAACCTCAACAGAATAGGCACATCTCCACGCCAGTGAGCAAGTGATGCATCTAGGAGCGAGAGATGCACATTTTCTATGACCCTTTGCAGGTGGATGGAGATAGCTGTTGTCAAATCCCAAATGGGTAGATTAAGGAAAAAAAGAAAAATGTTCCTGTGCTTCCTTTCTGAAGGAGAAGAGACAAACTTTCTACTCCACTGGAGCTGTAATTACCCACCATAACTCCTACAGACACTTTCCATGGGAAGCATTTTCCCATTTTATCAGGTCATAGAGAACAGTCCATTTGAAAAGTAGAGCTGGTGGCTCCGCAAACTGAATACAGTCTCACAGAGTTTTCTTATACACTTGGGTCTGCTTGAAAGCAGGACTTGCAAAGAACTTGCATAAATAGGATAGAGGTTCTACTGACAGCGAAATGACATGAATGAACAATTTGCACATCTAAAGGCAACACGCCAACAGCAACACACCCATACAAACCTCCAGGAGTCTCAGCGCTGAGGACTCGAAAACTGGTGACAAGCAAAGCGCTTGCTCCGTAGCTCAGCAGCAACTATCACACATTTTGCAACATGGGAGCAACAGCTCATCTGCACCAGAATTAGACACAGGATCCTCACAAGCTTTTCTGTGGCAGCTGTATAGGGATGCAAGACAATGCCAACAGAAGGTACAGAGGCAGGCCTTAAGCAGATGATTTAACCTCAGAGCATTCATGCTTCACCCTTAGCAGTCATGACTTAAGGCCTCTTCTAGGTATTTCCAGAAAGCTTCTTCCAAAAGACTGTGTATCTGACAGTTACTTGCAGACTTCTGAGCTGCTCTCCAAACATGGAGGGAGAGGAGAAAAATTAAAAAGGGAACTTCAAGAAGCTACTTTTAGTTGTAGTTCTTTGATTTAAATGGGTTTATATTTTTTAATATTTCTTTTTATTTTACTCTCATATATTAAATTACAGATTTTTTTTCCCCTTTTGATACTGATGTCAATTTGGAGTTTCAGGTGAAAAATTATATCCAAAATGCAGAGCTTTAGGCAACTGAATCCAGGCAGAAAAGCTCCAAGTACATGCCTTTGCTGGTTCCTACAGCTTCCAGTGCTTTATAATCAGAAACATCTCAAACAATAGGACTCAACAGCTACAGCAAGTAATTCTGCGGCTGTTTTTCTTCCTTTAAATCTAATGTAGAGATAATTATCTCTTTTCCAATTCTCAAATGCTTAAGTTATTTGCTCTGCAAAATGCTGGGACTGCTTTTGAAGATGAAGTATTAAGTGTAATCCACAGCTGCTTCTCTCTGTTCACTTTTTGAAGGTGTTTCTCACAGCCCTTTGTCCTCCTTGACAGCTCCTGACAGTTTTAGAGGTAAGCATGGCAAAGGGAAAGTTGTGTCAAATACTGTAGCTACACTGGTGGGGGTCTGTACAAATGCTTTTTGACAGTTAGTAAGGTTAGATACAATAAAATTCCTAATGTTTTTATTCTGGAGGGATTTAAGCATCCTCCTGGAACGAAAATTCATAGTTTGCCA